GAGTAAGTCCCATGACCAAACTGTTGACATTTATAACACCCGAGTGGATTGGAGACATACACATCCACCCCGATATTGAAATAGCCTGCTTTTATAGATGCTGGAAGTGAAGAGTGAGAAAAGGTCAAGAGATAAGTATTGGTTTTTGTAATAATGCCCTCTTTCTTAAAGGTGAACCGTTTCACTGCTGAAACGCCCTGATCCTGTAATTCTAAAGCAATGTCCTCCTCAGACATATCAACGAGGCAACGTGCCCTGTCGCGGATGATGCCACGGCAAGAGTTGAATGTCGTGTGTATGGAGACACCAACCTCTACATTTGCAAATGTTTTGATAGATAATAGATTTTCAGATTGTTGTTTCCTTAAACATTCGACCAAAAGTGAGCCACTACGGAGACGAGTAACATTTTTCACCTCTCCGCAAATACCAGAAATAGCCTTTGAAATGGCAAAAGGATTGAGTTTGAGAGGAAGAAAATCCGCAGCTTCTATCACAAGAATCCGAGCCCATGTGTCAACATTTCTCTGAATGTGTTCCGGGGAATGATCTATTTCGTCAAGACGTCTCTTCTTTTCGTGACGAGATGAACCAGCTTGTGCCATGATGAAAGGAAATTAATTCAGCATCCTTTGCTCCCAACCCACCATGGAGTGTCAACGAGGACAATGTCAAATAGCACCGGATATCCAAGATGCTGACACCAGGGATACAAGGATGTTATACTATGACGCAAATAGCAATATTTGTATACCAAATTAAATGTCAGGGTGGTTCTGCCCATGACAAGAAATAGGATACATACTGAATTTGGAGGTCAACATCCCCAGATTGGCCCATGAGCCACCGCCTTCTGGCATAGGACTCTAGGCAATTAAACAGATCAATAATTTATAAATTCAAATCAAAATGGCCAAAACCCAAAAGAGTTAAATGTGCAAAATATTCACTATGCACAGGGCATGGCGTGACCAGCCGATTGGTAGAACCGGGCCAGTTCTACCACCCATCTAGGTGAAGTAAGGGCCAAAGTGGTGTGTTGGGCAAAGGAACACGGTGCCAGGATCCTATTGCCCTCAACCACCAGAATCCCGTCCTCCACCGACACAGGGGACACACGGCAAACGGGTTGGTGGACCAAATATTCCCCAGGTCCACAACGGGGTTGAAGGGCGCTTAGCGTGACCCAGCACCCACCACGAGGAGGTGGCCCTTCATGGAAGCCTGCAAAGATTAGAAGGAGCGTAGTGGTGCAATATACAAGTGCGTAGATGTATCAAATAATACTGATTAATATTTATATATCTAATTGAATGAATCGGTCTAAAAATTCTGGACTGGTTATTGTACTAAGTTGCGCAATAAGACGGAGCCCAGTCAGCAGGAAACGAGACTGTTGTGTAATCAATGTTCATTCGTCATACCGAAACAGGGGTTTGATTCCCCACAAGGGTGCATTGTACGAAGCCCACTTCTGGTGTCCGCCGACTTGACATTGCCGAAATGTTGCAAAAGCAGCGTAAACTTAAACTCACTCAATCACCCAATATCTTTACCTCAAAATGCCTGGTTTGTTTTACTATTGCCAACATTACAGCTCATGGGACATGTGCTGAGATCAGAAAAAGGAACCCAGATGCTCGCAGTGGAGATTTCAACATAATGCCTACAGCTCCTCAATTCAGGGGAATGTCAGTGAAGGTGTTTTGTTTGTTGAATGACACACACCAGCTGGAGTATGTCACACTGCCAAATGAAAACATTGGAAATTATCCTAAAAGGTCAAACAATAACTGTGGAAATGAGCTGCCATATCTATTAGCTGGTGGTGTTGGCAAAGATGGAGTAACAGTGTATGAGAAGATCAGAATCATACCGTCGGTAAGTACACATTTCGATTAACAGTTCTGTGATGTGAGTTGGTAAAGTGAAGGGAGAACTTACTTGCTTTACTGTTACATTGTATATGATACATTGTATGTTCACTACCTTATAAAGGCAAAAGTGGTAATAGCACTTGGTGTGTGAAAACTTCAACGTTCTCAAATTTCAAAGAGGCCTTACTAACATCACAGTGTCCGGCCAGCAGATATCCGTAGCTAAATGTTATCTACGTGCGTTTAAACAGTTATATCTCATTTTCCCAGTGGAAACGAGTAGTCGGTTGATGTGCAACTTTCAACGTGATAGAAATCTATAATCGTCGCTGATAGTGTGACCAGGTTTGTCAGGAATATACCAAATTTCACCCAAACTGTAAACATATGACACATTCAGCACTATAGAATTTTCCTCAAAGCCTAAGTGGCATGACCACATCTTACTCAAAATTAGAGCAACCAAGGACCTGGATAGTGTTGGGTGTTTCTTCTGGTATGGGGGCGCTGGGGTAGCCTAGTGGGTAAAGCGTTGGCTCCTCACGCCGAAGACCCGGGTTCGAATCCCCACATGGGTACATTGTGTAAGCCTATTTCTGGTGTCCCCGCCGCGATGTTGCTGGAATATTGCTAAAAGTGGCGAAAAATAAAACTCAGTCAGTCAGTCAGTCTTCTGGTATGCATTATTGTTAATTACTTTTAATTTCAGCTCCTAGTTTTTACCAAGAAACCTGCAATGCAAAAAAGTTGTATGCATTTAAATTCATTCAATATATCTATATTGAATAGAAATTGTGAAAGGATTACCTAATTCTATTCAACACTTAAAAATATAAACCATAAAACATATAGAATATTTTGTGTTCTGCTGGGGTGAACAGATGTTTTTTTTCTGTGCTTCAGGCAATGACTGTTGTGAGAACTGACACCACGTTCGCAAGCGGGAACAAGACGAAGCCACATCAGTTTGGTAGGGCAGAAGATTGTTACTATTTTTTCTAAAACTGCAAACGAATAGGCACCTTTTCACATCGACACACTGGGCACAGGAACGAAATTCGCCACTGATGTAAGTAACTCATTCTCAAAAAGTATGACATATGTCCGCGCGCGTGTGTGTGTGTGCGTGTGTAAGTATATTATAAAACAACTTTCCAAAGCTAGGGAACATTCTCAAGAATATAAAGATGTGCTGTTTTAAAGGGAATCCTTGTATTCATATCATTTAATTACCTGATTACAGTTCAGACTTGTTATATAAAACCTATTTAAGTACACCTATTCATATGCAGCTCAACTGGACTGCAGAAGGATACGCGTCCAAAGTGCACAGTATTACCCGGACGCATGATGTAAGCATCATTGATCTGATCTGGTTTGTGGAGGCTGGTGTGGGGATGTGATCCTATTGGAGACATGATCCTCTACCCAAACAATCAAGATATTCAGTCACCTTTGTTTAATGAATGCAGCTACTCTCCCTAAAAGTGGATGGTGAGAGACTGTGAGGGTATGTTTTTGATGATAGACGAAGGTCATCAACCCGATCATAAGATAGAGGACCTTGTGGATGTTGAAGACGTTGATGGTAATTCGTATGGAACCAAGACCTTCTACACTACCAGTTCACTTACTTGGCCTGTATAGGCGTGTATTAGAGGATAAGTAACAGTTCTGAAACAGTTCACTGAAACTCTGTTGTTTAAGCTTCAAGTAACTTGAAATCAGATCTGAATGAATACATGTCTACAGGAGAACTCTAATTTTTTGGTGCTGGGTTCTTTCAAACATTGTTATTCATCTTGTGGAACAAGTTACCAGACACCTGTAATGTTATCCGGTGTCGTGTCAATTCACGTAAATGACAAACGATTTTTAAATTACATCAGTGGGTAAAATAGGAACCAGCAGTAGTGATAATTCTGCTCGAAAGTACGTTCGACGTCAGTGTATGCATCTGCTACTGGTATGTACAACGTTGTTGCTGATAAACTCTTGCTGTTGAGACTTCCTTGCGTTGAGTTGATAGCAGTTGATTCAATTTATTGAATGTATTTTCTCCACAAAGCCACTCCATAATTATTTGTGCACATGTCTACAATTGTACATCAACACCCGAAGCTAAATATTTATCTCATCACCAAACAATTCCATTCAGAAAACTAGTGAGTGAGTTTAGTGAGTGAGTTTAGATTGATCGCTACATCGGCGGTATTTCCAGCCACATCATTGAGGGGAGAAAGCCACACATCAATGACAGAGAAATATATATCAACAGTATAAATTCGTCGGAGCAGGACAGTATAGTAACTAGATTATCACAAAGTGTTTTTAAACCAATATTTGTCAAATGCTACAATTAACAACGTTTAAGTGTATATTGTGTTGCGAGTTTAGATTGTAATATGAAATTAGAGGAAAATTGTGTTCTGTTAAAAGTATTCTGTTAAAGTTGTGATATATAATGTAATTGATTTATATTGAAGGTGCAGGACAGCCCTGGCATGAATAGAAAAGTATAATAAAGCGGCGTATAATGTATTATCCGCATTTCCGTAACAACCTGTGTGTGGCCCTTTGTTGCATTTACACCAGCCCTGCTGGCTACGGGCAATTATTAGACTAACGTTATTTTTTACTAACGTTAAACCCATTTAGGATAAGTCTTAGTTTGAATGACATGGGACCAACATACGTGCAGGGAGGACAATTATTTCATGCTGCTTCAACCCCTTTGAAGATATATCCACTAACAACCTCAGTTATTTATTCATTCTTCCAAACAGAAATCTTGTCCTACTGAACTGCCGCGGAAAAGAAAGTTATCACTTTTACCCAAAATAACTGTATACAATAAAACAAATCCACAACGCTGGTACAGGCTTTGAACTCAAGCAAACAACTCGCCAAACTTGAACGTGGCGGATAATAATGTACCTGTCCGAAAAACGTCATATGAGTTTTGCAAAACGCGATTAACGTAATTGTGTGACGTTGGTCCAAATGCGCGTGTATGATTGTAGCACAAACACCGATGTTGGACGGAGCAGGCATGCATTAACCCAAAACCAAAGACGTACGCAAGCTCAACGGTATGGCCAAAACCCAAAAGAGTTAAATGTGCAAAATATTCACTATGCACAGGGCATGGCGTGACCAGCCGATTGGTAGAACTGGGCCAGTTCTACCACCCATCTAGGTGAAGTAAGGGCCAAAGTGGTGTGTTGGGCAAAAGGAACACGGTGCCAGGATCCTATTGCCCTCAACCACCAGAATCCCGTCCTCCCACCGACACAGGGGACACACGGCAAACGGGTTGGTGGACCCAAATATTCCCCAGGTCCCACAACGGGGTTGAAGGGCGCTTAGCGTGACCCAGCACCCACCACGAGGAGGTGGGCCCTTCATGGAAAGCCTGCAAAGATTAGAAGGAGCGTAGTGGTGCAATATACAAGTGCGTAGATGTATCAAATAATACTGATTAATATTTATATATCTAATTGAATGAATCGGTCTAAAAATTTGGACTGGTTATTGGACTAAGTTACGCAATAAGACGGAGCCCAGTCAGCAGGAAACGAGACTGTTGTGTAATCAATGTTCATTCGTCATACCGGAAACAGGGGTTTGATTCCCCACAAGGGTGCATTGTACGAAGCCCACTTCTGGTGTCCGCCGACTTGACATTGCCGAAATGTTGCAAAAAGCAGCGTAAACTTAAACTCCTCTCAATCACCCAATATCTTTACCTCAAAATGCCTGGTTTGTTTTACTATTGCCAACATTACAGCTCATGGGACATGTGCTGAGATCAGGAAAAGGAACCCAGATGCTCGCAGTGGAGATTTCAACATAATGCCTTACAGCTCCTCAATTCAGGGAATGTCAGTGAAGGTGTTTTGTTTGTTGGGAATGACAATTACACCAGCTGGAGTATGTCACACTGCCAAATGAAAACATTGGAAATTATCCTAAAAGGTCAAACAATAACTGTGGAAATGAGCTGCCATATCTATTAGCTGGTGGTGTTGGCAAAGATGGAGTAACGGTGTATGAGAAGATCAGAATCATACCGTCGGTAAGTACACATTTCGATTAACAGTTCTGTGGATGTGAGTTGGTAAAGTGAAGGGAGAACTTACTTGTTTTACTGTTACATTGTATATGATACATTGTATGTTCACTACCTTATAAAGGCAAAAGTGGTAATAGCACTTGGTGTGTGAAAACTTCAACGTTCTCAAATTTCAAAGAGGCCTTACTAACATCACAGTGTCCGGCCAGCAGGATATCCGTAGCTAAATGTTATCTACGTGCGTTTAAACAGTTATATCTCATTTTCCCCAGTGGAAACGAGTAGTCGGTTGATGTGCAACTTTCAACGTGATAGAAATCTATAATCGTCGCTGATAGTGTGACCAGGTTTGTCAGGAATATACCAAATTTCACCCAAACTGTAAACATATGACACATTCAGCACTATAGAATTTTCCTCAAAGCCTAAGTGGCATGACCACATCTTACTCAAAATTAGAGCAACCAAGGACCTGGATAGTGTTGGGTGTTTCTTCTGGTATGGGGCGCTGGGGTAGCCTTAGTGGGTAAAGCGTTGGCTCCTCACGCCGAAGACCCGGGTTCGAATCCCACATGGGTACATTGTGTAAGCCTATTTCTGGTGTCCCCCGCCGCGATGTTGCTGGAATATTGCTAAAAGTGGCGAAAAAAATAAAACTCAGTCAGTCAGTCAGTCTTCTGGTATGCATTATTGTTAATTACTTTTAATTTCAGCTCCTAGTTTTTACCAAGAAACCTGCAATGCAAAAAGTTGTATGCATTTAAATTCATTCAATATATCTATATTGAATAGAAATTGTGAGAAAGGATTACCTAATTCTATTCAACACTTAAAAATATAAACCATAAAACATATAGAATATTTTTGTGTTCTGCTGGGGTGAACAGATGTTTTTTTTCTGTGCTTCAGGCAATGACTGTTGTGAGAACTGACACCACGTTCGCAAGCGGGAACAAGACGAAGCCACATCAGTTTGGTAGGGCAGAAGATTGTTACTATTTTTTTCTAAAACTGCAAACGAATAGGCACCTTTTCACATCGACACACTGGGCACAGGAACGAAATTCGCCACTGATGTAAGTACCTCATTGTCAAAAGTATGACATATGTCCGCGCGCGCGTGTGTGTGTGTGCGTGTGTAAGTATATTATAAACAACTTTCCAAAGCTAGGGAACATTCTCAAGAATATAAAGATGTGCTGTTTTAAAGGGAATCCTTGTATTCATATCATTTAATTACCTGATTACAGTTCAGACTTGTTATATAAAACCTATTTAAGTACACCTATTCATATGCAGCTCAACTGGACTGCAGAAGGATACGCGTCCAAAGTGCACAGTATTACCCGGACGCATGATGGCGCCATCATTGATCTGGTTTGTGGAGGCTGGTGTGCAGGATGTGATCCTATTGGAGACATGATCCTCTACCCAAACAATCAAGATATTCAGTCACCTTTGTTAATGAATGCAGCTACTCCCTAAAAGTGGATGGTGAGAGACTGTGAGGGTATGTTTGTGATAGACGAAGGTCATCAACCCGATCATAAGATAGAGGACCTTGTGGATGTTGAAGACGTTGATGGTAATTCGTATGGAACCAAGACCTTCTACACTACCAGTTCACTTACTTGGCCTGTATAGGCGTGTATTAGAGGATAAGTAACAGTTCTGAAACAGTTCTGAAACTCTGTTGTTTAAGCTTCAAGTAACTTGAAATCAGATCTGAATGAATACATGTCTACAGGAGAACTTAATTTTTGGTGCTGGGTTCTTTCAAACATTGTTATTCATCTTGTGGAACAAGTTACCAGACACCTGTAATGTTATCCGGTGTCGTGTCAATTCACGTAAATGACAAACGATTTTTAAATTACATCAGTGGGTAAAATAGGAACCAGCAGTAGTGATAATTCTGCTCGAAAGTACGTTCGACGTCAGTGTATGCATCTGCTACTGGTATGTACAACGTTGTTGCTGATAAACTCTTGCTGTTGAGACTTCCTTGCGTTGAGTTGATAGCAGTTGATTCAATTTATTGAATGTATTTTTCTCACAAAGCCACTCCATAATTATTTGTGCACATGTCTACATTGTACATCAACACCGCGAAGCTAAATATTTATCTCATCACCAAGCAATTCCATTCAGAAAACTAGTGAGTGAGTTTAGTGTAGTGAGTTTAGATTGATCGCTACATCGGCAGTATTTCAGCCACATCGTGAGGAGAGAAAGCCACACATCAATGACAAATATATATCAACAGTATAAATTCGTCGGAGCAGGACAGTATAGTAACTAGATTATCACAAAGTGTTTTTAAACCAATATTTGTCAAATGCTACAATTAACAACGTTTAAGTGTATATTGTGTTGCGAGTTTAGATTGTAATATGAAATTAGGAAAATTGTGTTCTGTTAAAAGTATTCTGTTAAAGTTGTGATATATAATGTAATTGATTTTATATTGAGTGCAGGACAGCCCTGGCATGAATAGAAAAGTATAATAGTATAATGTATTATCACATTTCCGTAACAACCTGTGTGTGGCCCTTGTTGCATTTACACCAGCCCTGTGGCTACGGGCAATTATTAGACTAACGTTATTTTTACTTAACGTTAAACCCATTTAGGATAAGTCTTAGTTTGAATGACATGGGACCAACATACGTGCAGGGAGGACAATTATTTCATGCTGCTTCAACCCCTTTGAAGATATATCCACTAACAACCTCAGTTATTTATTCATTCTTCCAAACAGAAATCTTGTCCTACTGAACTGCCGCGGAAAAGAAAGTTATCACTTTTAAAATAACTGTATACAATAAAACAAATCACAACGCTGGTACAGGTTTGAACTCAAGCAAACAACTCTCGCCAAACTTGAACGTGGCCCGGATAATAATGTACCTGTCCGAAAACGTCATATGAGTTTTGCAAAACGCGATTAACGTAATTGTGTGACGTTGGTCTAAATGCGCGTGCATGATTGTAGCATAAACACCGATGTTGGACGGAGCAGGTATGCATTAACCCAAAACCAAAGACGTACGCAAGCTCAACGGTATGGTTAATATGGGGCTGCAGATCTGCAGCTGACAAGCACCTACAACTGCAGCCAGGCCAACATCAGCAATTGATAAACCGCTTCCGGCAAACAGGCCAGACGCAAGATCTTGAAGACCCAAGAGTCACGGCGTTGGCCGAAGACATCTACATCCGGCAGATCAACGTACGGAAGAGATTAAGACACGCTGTCAGCAGACGAACAGTCCTTCCGTGCAATGGTCTTGACCCGTCTACACCATCAACGCAGATTGCAATAGGCAAGCACTGTACGCGGTAGTGAGTGAGTGAGTTAATATTTAACGTCACATCGGCAATATTGCAGCCATATGGTGACGAAAACAAGCCATTCCGTAAAAGCAGAAAAAGTCATAGCACCAAATTTAAAAGTAGGCAATTTGTTAGTCACCTTTCACAGTTACAATTTATGATAGTCACATTTAACAGTTACAATTTATGATACAGATCAACTTCCCTCAGGTAGTTCACTATCAGATGAGCGCTAACGCGGGAGAACAGATCTTTCAGATTTGTTGCATCATAATGTGAGCAGCGAAGTGACTTCAACCCTTATTTCACCTAGACGGGTGGTAAAATTGGCCGGTTCTACCAATCGGCTGGTCACACGGACAGACAAAAGGTAACATAAAATTGTATAACTATAGGTTATCAAGCGAGTGTGTTTTCGGATGGTTAATATACTGTATTAGGAATAAACGTTGTATTTAGCAAGCCTTGGCGAGCTAAGTACATATTTTATAATTTAAAAAATGCGATTTCAATTGCCAAAAGTCTTGTAACAAACTTCGTCGAATGTGCAAATATATCTATGACGTCATAAATATGTGCGTAGTAATACGTTACATCACAAGCTCGGTGATACAATTTTCTTCTGATCACTCAATTGACTGCGTTAGGTCATCTAGTTCCCTGTAAGCTTTACTGTTAACTCATTAAGGCCGAGAGACGCATATATGGGGCACATTAATCAGC